TGTTACTTCATTATTAGTTTATACAAATGTGATAGATTTTTGTATATTGATTTTGTATCCTGTGGCCTTACTGAATTATCAGTTTTGGTAGTTTTTTGGTGGAGTCTACATAGTATCATGCCAACTGCAAATAGTAAAAGTTTTACTTCTTCCTTACCAATTTGGATGCCCTTCATTCCTTTTTCTTGTCTGATTGCTGTGGCTAGGACTTCCTGTTGACTGCTTACTTTTAATAATAGGTCTGATTCCTCCCCTCTTGATGCCTTAGAATTTTAAAAAATGTATTCTGTATTGTACATAAAAGAACAGTGGAGAGTAAAGTGTAAGTTTGTGTTTGTCGAGGGAGTGCATGCCTTTCATTCTATGGTGATGAGGGAGAGGAATTTATCCTTCAGAATTCTCCACAAGTTGAATTGAGCTAGAGCTGGGCTGCAGCTTTAATTAGATTAAGTTCACCTTCAGTTAACCCAGTCCCTAATCTCCCATGCTGCATCTGTCAGACTGAACAATTTGATTATATTTTAGTGTTTGAACTGGAGTAAGAGTTGTGTTTCACTTTTAGTTTGGATTCAAATGTGGTTCCAACTCTGGCAATTGTGATGCACAAAGCTACATAAATTCTCTTTGCCTCTAAGTCCACCTCTACTGCCCGTTTCTTGGCAAAATTCCAGGGCAGTTGGGTCAAGCTTTTAATGACCTTTCAGACCCATCTCACCAGCCCACAATATCCTCGAAAGTTCAGCCAGTTTCTTTTTTTCTGCAAAATCTCGTCTATGGCAGCTCCATTTCTAAGTCACCAGCATCCAGGCAGGCATGTGTCCCAGGTATAGAAGCTGCTTCAGTCTCTGCTTACTTATGAAGAACTCATCTCTCTTTGGGATTTATTTCACCTAGACTTGCTTGTATATACTACTCTGCAATAGCTCCAATAAATTATATGTTTATTTTATCTGGAATTTTTCTCATGTTTCCACTGAATCAAAGTTCTTTTGTATTTTATATCCTAACCAGAAGTGGAAGTCAATTGCACTATGTTTTTGTAAAAATGAAATTTATATTCACTTCAAGATAGTGAACACATGCCTTTGTATCTTCTCCTCCAGTTCCCATTAAATTACTAGTAAAGGAACAAGTACATGGTACCATCAAGATGTAGAGAAAGGAAGGATCCTTCTCACCAGAATAGAGATTTCAGTACACATCCAGAAGACAAAATAGGAGAGTGTTGAACTGGGGAGCCAGAGAAAAGCAAGCTGTAGCCTAGTAGCCTCACAGAAGATGCTTCTGGGAAGGAACCTCTGACCAGTCCAGGACAACCCCAGAAAGGCTCCAGCACCAAACATTGCCGGGAAATTGAGGGTCTAAAAATTGAGGGTGATATTAGTGCAATTAATAATTGAAGATCTTTGTATTGAGCAGTTGCTCCTCTTGGGTATGTTTATGTGCTTGTTGCCAGGTGTTTGGCCCCTTGACAAAATACTCAAAAAACAAAATAGGTCAGTCAGAGAAAGACAAATACCATATGATTCATTCATAAAAGTATATCTATCATAAGAGGTGGTTGTGAGGATTTAATGAAATCGTGCACAGAAGTGCTTTGCACAGTGCCTAGAACATAAAAAACCATTCAGCAGATGATAGCTATTGTCATTTTTACTGTTATTGATGAATTAGTTGCTTTATGTAGAAAGGAATCCAAAGCTTAGGTGCTGGAGAAAAAGTATGGTAGAAGAGATATAGTGGATATGGATTACAAATTAAAATCCTCACCCCATTTTCCTTACCAGTACCTACTTGTGTAGAAGAAGAAATCAATGTATGTAAGGACTCCAAAGAACTTAGAAATGTCTATTATAAAATTGTATTAAAATGGCATCTGAGATTCCATATATATAGAAACAAAATTATTTGAGAAAATTCATTGTGCTCTTTGCGTTTCTAAGCCAGAAGACAAAGGATCCTTTAAAAAAAAATTCTCTATATAGAGCATCATTAACATACACTCTTAGGGTTATCTTCAATGTCCTGGGGTTTGAAGGATAGAACAAATGACCTGCTACAAAAATAAAACTGCTTTAAAGTCTTCTGACTTACACTAAAAATTAATGTAAATCCTGCTTATCAGTACATTGGTGTATTTTGATGTAAAAATACTTTTACTTTACATGGAGTAAACATTGCTGGCCTAGGAAGATATACCATGTTCCTCTCTAATCCTTGGCATACTACTAAAAATCTTCAGTTTGGGGGATGCCTGGGTGGCTCCGCTGGTTAAGTGCCTTCCGCCCAGTTCATGATCCCAGGGTCCTGGGATCAAGTCCCTCATCCAGCTCCTTGCTCAACAGGGAGCTTGCTTCTCCCCCTGCTCGTGTGCTCTCTCTGACAAATAGATAAATCTTTTTTTAAAAAATCTTCAGTTTGGGATAGATCAATTTTTATAGGTACAGACCAAACAATAACAACAAAAATTTACTAAAACTGTTTACTTATTCTAATATTTTAAGTTAATACCTATAAAATGCTGTGAGGTCATCACACAAGATGACTGGTCAATTTTATTTTTTAATCAAAATGGTTTTTACGTATTAATATTTAAAAACCTAGTGATGAACCTACAGATTTCAATTTCGAATCAGCTTTGGTCTAAGTAAGAATAATAATAGCAACAGTATTTCCTAATACACATAAATGTAAATTGCTGTCAACAAAAGTTGCTCAAAGCAATTACTACTTAAATGTCATTGTTTCATACTTGATGTATTACAACTAGTAAATAGGGAAGATACCCCAAAAGTGAGATACTTGTAGTTTCCCTAGCTTGTTCTCAATCTTTTTATGTTTATAGGCCAATTTTTTTCTGACTTTACATTCTAATTGTCACTGATGAGCATTGCCAACTTCTTTGTTCATCACTTTCTTTTAATAATTTCCATTTGTGATAAGTCTCCAATTTGTCTATGTTTCTAATGGGAAATCAATGAAAGATTCAGTATCATATCGGAGTCCGATGAAAATGAACTCAACCAACAAAAAGCTATCTTTTTTGTGACATGAGCTATATATTCATTGAAACCTGAGTTTTTCCTTCTTTAATCCTGACACTACTTTTTAAAAATGTGAAATGTTTGGGGCACCTGGCTGGCTCAGTCAGTAGAGAGTATGGGACTCTGGATCTTGGGGTTGTGAGTTTGAGCCCCACATTGGGCATGGTGTTTACTTAATAAAAATATATTTTAAAAAATGTGAGATGTTTTTCTTTTACCGATTCTGTAATAGTCTTTAGTAATTATTTAATGAGGATCTTGAAATAATATCCGCTTAAAATTATAAAGAAAATGAAGTAATTTACAATCAAGTTATTCCAATTTCTCCTTAGCATTCTAAATTCACTCAGTCAAAAATATTTTTATACTACCTCCTATTATGGGGCAAGGCACTTTTCTGGGTAATTGTACACCAGAAATACCAACATGTGTGTTTCTGCCTGAAAAGGGAGGAAGATCTAGTGTGTTTCCAATGGTGGAGATGTTCAAAAGTAATGACAGATCTAACTCCTTTGAGCATTCACTATGAAATATACCTAACAACTTTCTTAGTTGTTAGGCATACATTTTCTTCTGGCATACATAATGTTAGCTATCCTCTGTGGAAGGTAATGTAGAACATTACTTTGAAGGAGACAACTCTAAATGGCAAAGAAAACATATAAAAGGCAATACCCACAACAGCAAATATATTTAGGCCAAACCTAACAAACAAAATGTAGAGTTACAAATAGATTCTAATTTAAGTTACAAATAGATTCTAATGAAGATTTTACTTAAAAAAGATCTACCCACTAATGCATTCAATATAAATGCATTTTAATTAGCAATGCAACTTTTAATAAACTTACGAAAACACTGGTCATAAAAATGGTCTTCTGTACAATTCTGTATTAAGAGCAAGATAGAAAGCTATGCAAAGATAAATCCAAATATCCCAGGGAAGAAGAGTTTAGTCAGAGCAAACTAAAACAAAAATTCTTAATGAAATAATAGCATAACTGAAAAATTATAAGAAGAGAAAGAACTTGGCTCCTTAATTCATCACAAACAGTATATAGTTTTTTAAAAGATGTTTTTAGGGGGTAGTGTTTTTCTGGTTTCAGCAAGGTATCATATAAGAAAACAAATTAAATCAACATTATGTTGAAAAACATCTCCATGTTAACTATTTTTTAGTGGGGGTGATAAAGTTTTGCCCTAAAGTAATCCTATCACTCCCAGTAACTCCTTTGTAAACATATGGTATATAAAATGAAAGCCATGAGAAAATTATCCTTACTAATTGTCAGATCTAGTTTTTAATCTTTAAGTTAGAGTAACCAATTTATCCCTCCTATAATGTTCTTTATATTATATTCTGTCAGTTACTTTAATGTTTTAAAATGGCAGCTTTAATTTAGGATGCTGCCTCTTGTCATTTTATAGTTTTTTGTTTGGGAGGGGAATTCATCAAAGTGGATATTCTGTAACTTTGTGGTTATTAATTGGCTTGAATCACATTTTTAGCTCAGAACTTTTCTGGTCATAGAAAATGGGTATCAGAACACTAGCTTTGTGGCTGTAAAGTCTGCTACCTTTTGAATCTGATTTTTAGTACCATCTTTATAGAGAATGCAGAATACACCTTTATATTTGGCTTTCTCAGAGTAAAGATATATGCTTTAATTAAAGCTAATTTGCTCAATATTGGCTTGGAAATTTAAAAGATTTTACTTAATGCTATTTTTTTGTAGCTAAAAGCTCATAATTTTAACACTTGACTTTTCTGCTTATACTAATTCTGGATAGTAATGAAACATTAAACTATTTCATTTGGATAATGTTAATATAAATATGTAACCAAATCTTGGAAAATTTCAAATCAACCTACCAACCATGAACTCTAATAACACATGGGCATTTTTTATGACTATCACTTTTAATATATTAAAATTATTCAGTAACTGTTTTTTTGCACATTACATGAAAAATTTTTAAAATTTTATTCAAAGCATTAGGAAAATCATATTCAAAACACAGAAATCATCAGACTGTAACAAGGCTGCATAGATAGTGGTATACAAGTTCCCTGACACTAAGTGACTTCTACCTAACAAAAACTTCAATGTTCAAGTCACCAGGTAGAAAATGGTAGAGGCATTAGTTCCTCTCTCTGAGGCTGGAAAAATGGCTTCAGTGGTGAGAAGTCACACTTTAAACAACAAAGATTAGATTATTCCCTAATTTACTTCTACTCCTCTCTTGTTATTTCTCAGATATGAAAATTTAGAATGTAAGGATTACTGGAAGGGAACAGCGGGTAAATTACCTCTTAGGGGATACCCTGATCAGTGCCTGCTTTAATCAGACAAAACACTGAATTAAGTTTTAAAAATTACAACCACACCATTATGCAAACTAAAACTAAACACTGGCAAACTAAAATTGCCAATACAAATACTTTTTTTACATAATACATTACATGTATACAAGAAAAAAAATGACCTGTTTTCAATCCTTTGACCTTCAGTAGAAAAAAATGTCATCACTAATGAGAGATCTGAAAGATAATTTTCATGGCAGAGCATTAATTCCATAGAGATCAAAATCATTTCTGAATAGCGAAAATAGCCTAAATCAATGAGAAATTGCTAAATTTTTAAAAAGTTTACTTTTTGAAAGGAAAGACAATTTATTTGGAAGGAATTGTAGCTGGAAACATTGTTCATTAAAACAGTTACCCTGAGAAAGACTCTTAAAATTGCCAGTGCTTTCAGAGCCCCTCCCTCCACCCCAACAAGGCAGGAAGGAGCGATCTGTAGGCTTCTAGCCTCTTACAGTTACCTATAGGAAGAATGTTTTGATCTCAACAGTCTTTTGGGCGTTACTACTACACTGGTAATAGGCCACAACCAAGACATCCGAATGGTAGACTATAAGCAAATCTTTGCACTCATTTCAGGCTTCTCCCTTTATCCTTTTTTAAGAAAGAGTTTGTAATTCTTCAAATGGTCTTGGACTCAAACCTACTGTTGACAAAAAAAAAAATCTTTTTGTAAGCAAATTGGAAATTTTCTTATAATAGTAAACGGTCTGGTCTACAATCTCTATGCCTAGAAAATAAGGCATTATTAATTCCTCATTGGCCACTGCAGAGCACAGACAAGTGTTTTCTTTCTAATCAGAGGCATATGCAAACAGTCCTCAAAGTGCAGTTATTTTTAACCTCTGTGATGCATTTACACAGCATCAGCATTTACGACTCCTTACATACTTGTAGGATAAAATGCTTATTCCCAACATCTTACATACACCATAATTACTTGAGAAAAGACAAAGTGAGAGCAGCTACAGAAGTAGCAAGGTATTTTTCACAAATAAAAAAACCATATACAAAAAATGGCAAGTTAGTGGTAACTGGTAGTATGAACTCTCAATAATATTCCACTTTGGGTTCCAAATTAAGATTTGACAAGTTTGAAGCCTTGTCCTGTGTCCAGCACAGTAGGAAGAAACCAACTCATTTTTAATCTTTTCAAACACCTAAAACAACTTTTGCAGATCCAAAAAAGGTTCAGACCGCACAACCAATTTGCCAAATGCACCAGTGGATATGTAATACGAGGAAAGTGTAACATCCAGTGCTTGGCCACATCGCTGCCTGTTGGCAGATGCAGAGTGTAGTCACTCCACCGCTTTGACACACCGTAGACTGCTTTCACAGTGCGTCCCTTTTCAGTCCAGCAGATGTTATTACTGGGGTTGCAGTTATATTCTACCCAGTCCTTTGTAAAGTCACCCAGCTGTGGTGGGTCAGCTTCTTCAATATCTATGGTCTTTGTCATCTCTGCTCCTTGCACCGCAATGTACTGATCATTGATTTTTCTCACTTCTTTCACCCACGGAGTTGAATTCTCACTGTCTAATACGATAATAAGGCGAGAACAGAAGGAGGCATTCTTTTCTCTCCACCATTCTAAAAGTGTGTCAAGGCGCAGTATGTCTCCACCTGTGAACAAAAGAAAATTCAATAGAGTAATAATTTCTGAAGCCTCTTCTTAAGTATAGTTTAAGTTCCTGGAATTAAAGATGTAGGCCAAAAAAAATAGATGGAACCTTCCTTTCAAAGTCTCTTGTCAGAAGAGTTTTTTAAAAACAGACTTTCCACTTCAGGTAAAAAAAAAAAAAATCCTTGTTATATTCAAAAAGAAATAGGTTATAAAAAATTAAGAAAATTGTTTTTATGAAGTTAAATTTAGTGAAAAAAATTAAAATTTAGTGAAAAAAATGAAAAGCTAATATTCTGTATCACGGGCAGCAAATTATGGCTCATGGGCCAATCCAGCATGTCACCTGTGTTTGTACAGCCTGAGAGCCAAGAATTGATTTACATTTTTACATGGTTAAAAATCAAAAGAACAAAAGTTTGTGACATGTGAAAATACAGGAAACTCAAATTTCTTATTATTTCCATAAATAATATTCACGTGCATTCTGTCCGGCTGCTTTTGTTCTATAGTGCCTGAGCTGAGCAGTTACATTAGGACTATTAAGCCAAAAATACCTGGCCCTTTACAGAAAAAGTTTGTTGGTCTTTTGATAAATCACTAATCACTCAAATTAATGTTACCTTGCCTTGTATATAGGCATCTACCAAAGGAAAAAGAAACACTCTTCCTACCTGTACCAAGAATGAGTTTAGAATGGACCTTTAAATGTGTTTTATTACCTGAAAAACAACACAGGATTAAAAAAAATACATAACCGGAAAGGTCTAAAGCAAATTTGTCTTAAAGCTAGTAGGTTTTACATCTAGTTCATTATAATAGGTCTTTTTGTATTAATTTTGATTTTTAAATATATTGCACTAAAATACTATCTTGACTATTTAATTTTTGGCATCCTCTTAAATTCTGTGACCCAAGCAATTGCCATCCTTACCCTACTCATGGCTCTGTTTCAATAGTACATTAATAATTCATAGAATCATTCCAATTCTAGAGAATTTATCCTACGGAAAGGGCAGAAATGGGGACAAAAATTACATATAAAGATCTTCTCTTCCCACTGCTATCTATGATAGTGTAAAATCTGAAATGACCAGGAGGAATGGAAATAAATTGTGAGGGAGAATTATAATAAAATGGTATTTATAAAGAAATTTTAATGATGAGAACATGTCTATGATACTAGGAGAGAAAGCATAACATGGAAGTGTATCAACAAAAACCATAGTGGTATTGCTGGGTGTTTGGATTTCAGGTGGTATTTGTTACAGTTTCTTGTATTTTCCACCATTTTTATATTGAGTATATGTTACTTTTATGATTAGAAAAAAGTCTTAACATGGTACAATTTACTGGCACAAGCTCCAGCAACCTCAGATACACATTTCTGCCTAGAGCAACCATTCTCTTTGCTAAACTATCAAAATGACACTGGAGAGAGAGAGAGAGAATCCTTTAGTATTTGGATTCTTTTAGGAATATGATCTCTGAAGCCAGGGCATAACACATTCTTTATGAACAATTAATATTCTTTTATTCATCAGCCTACTATATCTTAGATTCTTGACAATGAAAAAGTTGTTTCATGAATTGTTCTTATACTCATGCTTATCATTTCAGAGCCACTATTTCAATACATGGTCTCCACATATTACTAATGTGTTGCTTCACAGAGAGCTCCAGAAGATACCTTTTATTATATGGTAAAATGTTAACTTTTCATTATTGCCAGTTCTCTTCAATTTCTCTAGCGGTCAGAGAATGACACAAATTACAAGAGCTATTATACAAAATCCATCTGCCACAAAACATCATGTTTAACTTGCCTTCTACAACTATTTCAATAAATATTCTAAAAGCACATTCTACACTAATTCTCTTATATACATGCTCTTTAGATATCAATAAAAGATTTAAAGGGGCATTAAAGCCTTTTCAAATGACTATTTCTCTTCTCCTGTTTGGTTTGCTCTCTCCTATGAATAGGTTCTATGTTGCATTTGGCTTTTGGCCCAGATGGAAAGTACTTAAATTTATCTCAGCTAACAGCCATCTGATGCAGTTAAAGTAACTGAGACTGCTTTTTAAAGGCTTTGTTTATCTGTGATAAACTGCTTTATAGATTATCTACATTTTTTTCATTTCTCTCGTGTCATTATCATAATTGTTTTTTACTCTGAAACAAAGAGGCAGAAATATCCAATTCCATATTATGAAACTCCATAAATATAAGGAGATTACTACATATTCTAAGAAGTAGTGTGAGTAAAGTTAGGTGATATAAGGGCAAACACAGATTTTCTTTCTCACAGTGGTATTTAGTTCTGGACCTGCTCTTAACTTGCTAACTCATGTAAAATCCAGTCATGATGTTTTCTATTTTACAGGTTTTTAGAAAGATAATTCTCAGAGCTCAAAGCTGTCACATGGGCTGGAATGGATTAAAGCATTTTCCTCTGAGCAGGAGGGTTCAGTACTATTTTTGAGTACTACCTGCCTTTGAGGGCTATGTCTCTAGCAGCCCAGGGCAGGAACTGACTGAAAGGAGGGCTCAGCCTCTATGCCTGGTTCAACCTGGTTACCTCCAAGTGGGCTTGGTGCCTCAAGCTGAGAGAGTACAGAGTTGCTGAATTAGGATGGATGAACTGGTGGGCTTGGTGCCTCAAGCTGAGAGAGTACAGAGTTGCTGAATTAGGATGGATGAACCTACCCATCCTGAAGGCAGGGCTATGTGCTTTTTCCATTGTGTTCTTCTACTTTTTACAATAAAGTCTCCAACAAAGAAAGTTACACCTACAAGAACAAATCTTCTTGGCTAAGAGAGGAATTCTATAATGGTCAACTCATTGGTGACATAGTCAAAAAATATTATAACGATACCATTCCAGAATGTAATTGCTAGATATTTACCTAAAATATAGCCAGACTTTAGAGTTTTTAAGTCTTCATAAATTATTGCTAACTCATAGTGAGTGAAAATTTAAGAACACTGATGTATATGTTATTTATCTTGGTGTCTATTTTTCCTAGGAAAAGAAAAGTTGATGTAAATAGTAGTAAACTGTACATCTAGAATTTTTTCCCAAAGCCATCATTTAAAAGATACTTGAAATAAATTTTTAAAAGATTTAAGAGGAAAAATATAAACTTACTGAAAAATGCTTATATTAATAAATCCTTCCTGTAAACATACAACAAGCTTACTTTTAAAATTACTTTCTTAAAATACTTAAAATAACCAAGGATATATGCATGACCACCAAAATTATGCCTTTTCCCCCCATTTGATTTGGGGAGAGTTCATTATTATAAGCATTACAGTAAGTTTTCAATAATCAATCCTGGGTTTTAGGTCTGAAATTCTATTTCTGTAGATTTCTGAATTGACCATAACTTTTTCTTCTGTGCTCTAAGGTCAAGTACACAGAATGCTATACTTTACCTAGAATTAAAATAGCCATAAAGGTTTAAAAAGTTTTCTACATTGACTTATTAAAAAGCTACAGGTCAAGTAAAAGATTTCACAAACTATATTCAAGTAATTCTGATGTTGACTACCTTCTTCGATAGTATTTAGAAAATGGGTGAACAGTGCTAACAAAAATATCTACTAAACCAGAACATGATTTTCTCTACCTTAATGGTTTTAGCCTTGGCAGCACATGGTACAATGGGGGAAAAATACATTTTAAGGGATTAGGCAGATCTGGATTTGAATCATGGTTCCATCACTTGCCAGTTGTATGACCACAGATATGTAACAACTTTAAATTTTCATTTTATTCTTTGAAAAATGAAGATGATAGAGGTGATAGTACTTACCTCAAAGTTTTTTAAATGAAGATTAAATTTAATGTATATAAAGTACGAAGCATAGTAACTGCTTCAAATGTGCCCAATAAATGTTTGCCTTCACTCCTAGACAGCCATTAAGTTATTCAATATTTATTTGCAAAACCAAAAATTACAACAGTATTTTTATGATGAAACCGTCATTACAAATCTAGCATGAAATTAGTGAGACCATGATGGTTTAAAATCATCTCTACTTTAACCTTGAATCATCTCTACTTGGAGTCCTTATGTTGGGAGCTCTACCTCTGTCCTTCCAGAACACTTCTATTTATATTTGTCCTTGATCTGAGTATCTATTTCTACTTATGTCTATTTTATTATTTGTAGGTGTTCTTAGTATAAAACATCTATAATATTTAAGGAAAAAGCAGGATAGAATTAAGTTCTAAAAGAACTATTTCTAACATAACCTTTTTTTCCCCCCATGATTCATTCAATGATCTATTACTTGAGGATCCCTACTAGGGATCTGCTAGGCTCTGTTCTAGGTGCTAGGCAAATAATTCCTAAGACAAAGCCCATGACTTACATGGTCTCTCTTCTAGTTGGGAAGCCCAAAGAACAAATTTACATATAATATAGATCTCATTTTGCCATTGGCAAGAAGATTTAATATAACCCCCTCATTTTACAGAGGAGAGAACTGAAACTGAGAGAAGCTGGTGACAAAAATAACACTATTGTGACAAAATCAGGACCAGATCCAAGGTCTCCTGACCTAAGAGCTACTCCCACCATTTTATCTCACTTGCTGTTTAAACTCCTGGTGAGCTTTCTAACTTAAATAAAACTGCACATGCGCATAACTATTGAAATCAGCATCCACAACATTTAAAGACTTAGAAGTACTAGTCAAGTTAATCAGCTTCTGAAAAATATAACTATATTTAATAACTCTGAAAATACATTAAAGGGAAACTGATAATGTCTCAGAGCAAGCAGAATTTTTTCTTCCAACTAAGACATAATTCTCAAAACCTTTAGAGATTACTAATACTATGCTAAACAGGTATGCTAGAGAAAAACAAAACAGTCATCTGTATACTTAGTAAACTGTGAAGTAGAAAATTGAGAATTTTGTAAATTTAATGTTTCAGTGTGAAGGGCAGATTTCCATAAATAGGTCTATCTTCATAACAGTTAAATTGCCAGAGGTGCATTTACCTGCAAGAGCCCACTCTCCCGTGCCATGGGTGTGCCCACTGTAATACAAAACATACGTATCATGTCTAGGTCCATCCACAGTCCGAAGTTCAAGGAAAGATTTCAGTTTGGAATGTAGAGTATCAAAAGACAGTCCACTTGTGGAATAGTCACATCCATAGGTCTCAATCATATGATATGCAAAAAATCTTTGGATAGCATTGAGCATGCCAGTAGACCTCAAATTTAACTCCTGTACATGTTCTGGGGGAAGAAGTGTTGGCTGACCATCAGGACTGAAGAAAAAAAAAAATTATTTTGGTGTTTATAAAGAGTGTCATTCTATGTCACATTCTTATTCTTCATTTATAATTATCTCAGCATCATAAGAGTTGCTGATAACTAAATGGCAGAATTTTTTTTAAATCCTCTTTTCTAAAGTGCTAAGAATTAAGCTTGAACATCGAAGCCTAGTTTCTAAAAGTTGTATTTCTATATAACTTTTATATAGCCAATAAAATAATCACCAAACTGAAAGCTGGGAAAAGATCTCCAAAAGTAGATAATACTATTCTTTGTTCTGTGTTCATACGCTTTTACCAAATGACAGATATTGAACAAGACTTTCTAAAAGCAAGATCATACTGATTTTACCCTGTGTTTCAAGAACACTCAGGTGGGAATTATAATGAACTTTTTTTCCTTAACAAAAAAATTTTAACAAAATATGGAAGCAATGTTTTATATTTCTATATTGAAAAAGAGAGTCTTTATAAAGTTGCATTCAAGTTCTACTAACTTAAGGAACATAAATGACAGAAGAAATTGTTAGTAAATGACATTTTGAAAAGGTTATTAAAATTTAGGCCCACTGCCTTATACTACTGAACACTAAGTGAAAACAGATCTGATCCTAGAACAAATGTAAAATGGTACTGTAGTAAAGATGAAAAACTATGTCTTAAAGCTAGCAGAATCAAAATATCAATATCGAGCAAGAAAAAAAATCATCACTCCTATCCAGAAAAGGAATTTCTTGCAGTAGTTTTGAAAACCTCATATTTTGCTTCATATATTATCAGTACTATTCTAATGACACTAGTTTTCATTAAAATAAGAAGACACTTTGTTCTCTATTTGTAACATTTAGCAGTCACAAACAGTAAAAGAATAAGCAATGTATTAACAAAAATCAGAATAAAAATCTGCAAATTACTATTTCCACATATTCTCCCTGCTAAACTGTCACATCTTACTTTATGGGACCCTCTTAAATATTTCTTTTACTCCTCATAAGAATTTGCAGCTCTTTATAAAGCCTTCAACATGAAGGAAAATATTTACTACAAATAGTCTGTTTTGGTTTTTATGTCAAAGATTTGAAATAAAAAATTTATTTCTAGTCTTCCCCCTCCCCCACCCCAAAAACCACCAAGGATAATCAAAACTTATTAACAGCAAAGAATGATTTTTTTCTGTTTCAAAGGTACTTACTATAAAAAAAATTCTAATGTGGCAATATTTACAGATTCAAAAAGATTTGCCACACATTTAGGGACAAAAATTATTTTGTAATAAAACTACAGTGAAACTAATACATGTTTAACTTCATTCCCAATTTTTCCAGTAAGCAGAGTATTTTTACATTCATATTCTCATTAGCTCTTCATAATGTTCCTCTGAGATGGGAAGACTAGGTATTGTTGTTTGCATTTTTTTTGAGGGGGGGAGGGGCAGAGGGAGAGGGAAAGAGAGAATCTTAAGCAGGCTCCATGCCCAGCGCAGAGCCCAACGTGGGGCTTGATCTCACCACCCTGAGATGATGACCTGAGCTGAAAACCAGAGTCGGACACTTAACCGAGCCACCCAGATGCCCCTGTCGTTGGCATTTTAGGTAAAAACACTGAAGTTTAGAGAAGTCATGATTTGCTTAGGGTAACACAGAACTAGCATTTAGGACTCTCAGGTCCAGTATACATTCTATTAAATTTCACCATGTTGTTTCACAGGACATTTTCTTAAACAAGATAACCTTTTCTAAAGAAAGGGTAGGACCTTTCCTTAGAACCATTATTCGTATTTTCTGATTTTTAGCTAAGTATAAGCTAATCACATTTATCAAAAAAATATTTAAATTGAATCCTGAAGATTACATCATTATGCAGAGTAAGTAATAGTTTTTAAACATTTGGCATAAATGAAAAACTGCAAGAGCATTATATTTTGAAAATATACTTTTGAAAAAATGAGCTATCACATTTTATATTCAAATTCATACAAATATTAGGAAAATGTTGAATAAAACAGTCACTACTAATTATACTAGATTACTGTACCTGCAGAAGTTGGTGGGAATCACAATAGCATATCCAACAGATGTCCCTCCTAAACAGTTACCCAATTCATGGAAGAGTCCATGAGCCATGGATTCCAATGGTAAAACTATCAGAAACATGCTCAAGAAGATTCCATTTGTTGGCTAAAAGAAATTTAAAACAGCATATTTATACAGTGTGTGACTGCACTTACGTGTGTGCATATGTACATATACATACATTTGCCCCTACTTCCAAAAAAGATGAACAATAACCTAAAAACAATTACAAGCTGGAGCAGAGAAGTATATATGGATGAGCAATGAAACCTAAATTAATCTGGAAGCTTCTTGGAAGTTGTGGCAAAACAAATACAGCACATCATATTTTTTTAATTTGCCAGGTAACATCCTACCCAAACTAAAAAACAAAACAAAACCCTCTTGCTATGACAGAAAAATCCAGAAAACAAATCCTTTCCTGTTAAAACCAACATATTCTAAATCATTTTTCAAATAACATACTCATTTATCAGAAAAGTTACTTTAGAAAGGGCTCATTTTCCTGTGAAAAGTCCAAAATTAAATAAAATCTTACAGAAATCTTAAGATTCTAAAGCTATCAAAATGAATCCCATTCTTATAAACTTTTAATAAACTTTTCCTTTGAAAAGCTCTAGACTCTGTAAATTCAAAGTTGTAAAAAAAAAAAAATGAGTGTGTGTGTATATGTTGTATATACATAAAGGGCATCTAAGCATCCTAAAAGCAGAAGAGAAAAAGGGAAGCAGAAAAACCCAGAAAAAATAAAGGATCCATTTAAGTGAAAAGAAAATGGAATGATGACAGTCACTCAGTACTGATCTATAGCTTCACAATACTAATATTATTCCATATTCTTTGTTTTGCTACTGCACATAGTATATGGTTATGTGCTTCTGTGCATGAACATGCATTTTTCTAACGCTAAGAGATGGCTGATTCCTTCAGAATTTTAATAAAAAAATAGGTGGTTCCCATAATGGAAAAATGGATATAATGCCCTATTTTGGGTACATTGTTTGCTATCAATTGCATAAAATACAGTACATGCTCAATTTAGAAACATTAGAAAATACGATTAAAAGAGATAAGTGATTAAAATCATTGCAAGTATTGTCCTCCACACGTTTTAAAATATTCTGACTTCACATAATATATATTGTTTATCAAAGGATAATGTTCTGTACACTAATATATTGTAAGCCTATTAATATAACGCTAATCATTTGTAAAGAATGGCATTCTTATATGTATAAAATTTTAACTAGCTGATCCCTTATTATTGCTATTTAGATTCTATTTAATTTTCTATTCTAATAAAACCAGAATAAGTATTGAGTTCTCTTATTATTTTAAATCCCTTTGATAATTTGAGTTTCATCTTTGGTGAAGTGTTAAATATTTTACTCATTTTTCCATGGGGCTGCCTTTTTATTGATTTATAGCTTTGTTTTGCTCTCAGTATATTTAAGACTTTTGTGGGTTGTATGACAAATGATCCCCCCCGTGCCTTTTTTTTTTTTTTTTGCTTAGCATGGTTTTTTTTTTAAAGATTTTATTCATTTCTTTGAGAGAGAGTGTACATGCACGGGGGAAAGGCGAAAGGGAACGTGGGAGAAGCAGACTCCAAGCAAAGCGCAGAGCACAACTAGAGGCTTAATCTCACGACCCTGAGGTCACGACCTGAGCCGAATCCAAGTCTGACATTTAACCAAATCAGACACCCAGCTGCCCCCTGCTTAGCATGTTTTTAATTGTAATGTCACTCTGTGTAAGTTAAAGAAATCTTCCTCTACCCAAAGGTCAAAAAGATTATTTTACATTACCCTTGAAAGGCTTTATTGTTTTGCCCTTCACATTTTTAGGCCTACAATCCAAAAATAATTGATTTTTGTTTATGGTCCAACTCCATTTTTTCTATTTGTATACTCAATTACCAATCACTGAAAATCTCAACCATTCCACACTGCTCTACAGTGCCGTCTCTGTCATTACGGGATTTGTTTTTATTAAACTCTATACTGTTCCATTGGTCTGTTCTTCAAATACCTCCTTTGGCCTTTATTTCCTCCTTTCTTTTGGGACTCCAATAAAATAGAGATCTTCTCACTGTATCCTCTTTGAGTCTTAGTCTTCTGTATTTTCCCTATTTTTCTTTTGTGTTCCTTCTTGTATAGCTTCTTCTGAAATTTATCTTCCAATTCACTAATGTTCACTTCAGCTTTATGTTAGGCTTGCACACTGAATTAATTTCAGGTATTTTATTTTCTGATTCTAAAACTTCTTTTTCAAATCTGCCTTGTCACTATTGTATAGTTTCCAACTCCTACCATTATATACTATCTTTGCTTTTATTATTTTCAACTTGGTAAATATGGTTTACTCTCTTTGATAATTCCAGTATCTCAAGATTTTCTGGTAATCTCTTGTCTGTTGGTCCTGCTGCTTATTGCTCTTGATGCCATGTGTGTATGTGTACCTGGTTATATTTATGAGCTGAACATTGTATGCAAAAATACACGTGTGCATATGTCTGTGTGTGCATATATATGTATATACATATGTATATATCATTATCCTAGGCCTGAAATTAGTCCTATAACTACATCACACAGACAGACACAGACACATACACAACACTCTCATAGGACTAATTTCAGGCCTAGGATAATGATACCTTTCTCCAAGAGTTTTGTTTGGTTCTTCCAGGGAGCTGGGGGCATTACAACTCAGTATCTTAATACAGGTTTGACCACTTAATCCAGGTCAGATCACTCACAGGACACAAGGTCAGGATGCAAATTCACGACAGCGCTGTCTTGGACACAGTTCCACCCTTTTCTTTCAGTGTGTCATCTTAAAATGGGAGGTAATTTACCAGACACCCGACCTCTGAAGTCCTGGGCTTTGATTTTTGCTCCTCTTGATGGCACTAGAAGTGCAGCTCAGCTTTAAACCTTCCTTCCTCAGTTTTAAACATGTCCACAGGGCACAGCGTTTAGTACTATCCCAGAAAGTCTGATATATGTATTTTCATTTATTCAAGTCTTCTTTCAAAACCTTCAGTGGAGTTTATATATCTTTGTAAAAATGTCTTAAGTTTCTTTTAAACCTTTTTCATTTTATGCTTGTTGTATGAATGGAATGATTTCCATTACATTTTCTGATTATGAACTTACAGGATATTGACTTTTGTATATTTACCTGTTGTTATTTGCCACCTAAATGCATTAAAAATATATATTCCCACTATACACCATTTATTTCTTTTTATACTACCTACATCCTACAATTCCAAGAAAATTTACATAGTTTTTATCGTGGCTAGGTTTTAATGATAACTATCCACAAAATCAACCTTTTATGACAGAGTTTAGAATGTTAAAGATGCAGCATAATTCTCACAACTGTTACTATAGCATTTTCAGTTGATTTTCCAGTTAACTCTTAGGTTTGTCAGGTAATCATCTTACCTACAAATACTAATAATCTCAATACTTTCTTTTTCTATACTTCTATTGCATATGTTGCTCCAGGATAACAAAAAATCTTTTGTTTTTAGGGGTTTAATTGATCAAAGGATTACTTCTACATTACGCCAGCCATTCATATAAAAGAATTACTAAATAACATAACCAATATGACAACTTTATTATTTTTACCTTTAACTTTATATAAACAGTACTTTTCTGATCAAGATAGTAATATAAGAAACTAAATAATTCACTATGCTATAATTTATAGCACAGGTCACAAAAGGCTTCAGGGGCCAGAAAAGTGGTTATGTGAAGCAGCTGTGATAAACAGTGGTAAGGATTCTAAAGGAAAGTGCACTGCTGCCTAAAGGCACACATTTTTTTTAAAAGGCATTTGTAAAAACTTATTGAAGTATAATTGACATACAATGTTTTACTGGTTTCAGGTGTACAACATAGTGATCCAACAATTCCATACATTACTCCGGGCTCACCACGGTTAAGTGTAGTCACCATGCAACATTATCACAGTATTATTCACATTTCCTATGCTGTATTTTCATCTCTGGAAGTTTGTACCTTGTAATCCCTTTCATCTCTTTTGCCCACCATCCCACCCACCTCCCCTGTGGCAACTACCAGTTTGTTCTCTATATTTAAGAGTTTGTTAGTTTTGTTTAGATTCCACATATAAGTGAAATCATATGGTATTTGTCTTTGGCTCACTTATTAAAGGTACATATTTTTTAAAAAATGTTCTGGCTAGATAAAGCTGGTCTACTCAATCTTACAGGCATGTTTATTTATTTTGCTATACAGACATAATTACATGATTTAAAAAATATATTTACAAAAAAAAATAGCACCCTCTTAAAAAAAAAAAAGTCCCTGCACGTTATTCCAAAAATTAGGATAGTTTCTAGCAGCAAGACTGAGAAGTTCAGGTTTGTACAAAGACTTTCTGTACTAAGAGTTACTAGGAAATTTCATGACATAGATATATAAAGATAATTCATAAGCAAGGAACTTGATATTCTAGTGTGGGGAACTAAATTTTGACATGTAAATTGTAATAGAATGTTGTACCATGAAAAAATGTTAACTTTTCATTTTGTTTAATCAAACCATTTTCCTTTATTTAAGACTATTTATTAACTTGATGTCTCATCTTTCCTATTTCTTAAAGACAATGGAAATTTCCATTTCTGAAAGTGGCCCAGAAATATTTAAATTTGGCCCTACTTATCAAATTATGTCAAGGGTACAGACTAGCCTTTCTTTAAATATTCATATGGACACAATACCAATGGTTATTACTGACTTCTGTATTACCTTAAAGAATTTTATAAACCTACTAAGATTTTTTGTGAAATTAAAATATCCTAATTTTACCATTAGAAAAAAGTATTGCATTAATGTAGTTCACTGCTAAATTATAAACTAATGATAAACTTCAATTGCAAATTAGTCTGTACATGACTCAAGTTGGAAGCCTTATTAAATAATTTAAAATTCCAATTAAAATGTTAACTGATAGTGGGGTCAATACTCTCATGTCAGTTATACAACACTGATGGTAATATTTAATAGGACTAAATAAGCAGATATTCAGAGTTACTGATAATTCATATATAATAGATCTGTTAT